TATGTCTGCTGCACTTGACTTTGTCCTCGTTAGAGTTTCACTTAAACTCCACAGATTTTTCTGTTGATTAGCTATAAGTTTAGGTTTCACCCTAGTTTCAGACAGCTCAGTGACTGCTTGTTCCATAAAGGTCATAAATGCCATTCAGTCCAATAAATTAGCCAATAATACATGTGGTAAGAACTGGAGTTCAGTCTTTCTTTCTGCATGTCTGGCTGTAAAGCAATCAGAATTCATGTCTGAGAACCAAAAACAAGTCTTACAGTTTTAAAAGGAAGAGGTGGGAGGAAAAAGGTTAAATATTGAGCCCCTCGATCCGCCCGCATGCGCCCACACATGGGTGGCCGGAGCTCAGACCTCAGTGGCCCGAGACGTAAGGGCAACCAGACCCCGGTGGACCCCGCCGGGCAGCCGCCAGGGACGAGCCGGCAGATGCCACAACACCCAGCCGCAGACACGAGAGCTACAAATACACAGGCAGATGGAGGCACAACCCACCAGCAAGAAATGTGGCGCGGAGGGTAGACCAAATATGTCCCAGGAGAAGGGAGGAGTCCAAAACCCTACCTGCAAGATCGATAGTCACACACAAGCAGTCACACACTCCCACCCTCATGCTCACACATAAACACATCCAACCAACACAAGAATGCATGCCATGCACCTACTCACACTCCCCACACACTTCCTACACACTTTAGCCCAGGCACTGCTGCACAGCAGACACGGCCATTCCTGGCACAACCAATTCTTTCATCAGCAAGTTTTAGAACGTTTCTACTGTTTAGAGCATGAATTTGGCAAGCACAAAGTTCCTGAAATGATGGTTCATTTCCTGAATATGAATGCAAAACACTGGGAATAATACTCTTTCTTGACCGTTTCCTTAAGTCCACGAATCTGAAATTGTGCCCTGACTTCAGTGATATTCAAAGTTGAAACACTGACGTTTCACAGCAGAGTCGTATTTGAGCCACGCTTCTTTATCCTGCGGCGATGTCTCTGACCAGACTTGGCTGAATCGAGTTGTCATAATTACCGACACACATTAGCTCAGAACCCTTTTCAAGTTCACACACAGATAAATAAATATACACACACACAATGAACAACACAATCTTATTTTATTACTTACTACGTCTGCTTACTCTGCTGTTGGAGGATATTGTATAGCTCGGGGTGTCTAATTATACTAATCGAATGCATACTGCCTGACATTCACTTATACATTTTTCATGGGGGAAACAAAAGAACCTCTGATTGGATATGCTGCCTTCCTGACTTCTCATCTTCTCTCTGTGTCTTTATTCATCCTCATTTATCTGTTGCTCCATCTATCTCTCTCCACCCAGCGACCTTCTTCCTTTCTTCCTCGGCGTGACTCCTTGCCTCCTGTAATTCGGCTTGTGGGTGTTGAGTAATTAGCAATGCCTCCCACTTTCGTTCTGGTGTCAGAGTGGGGAATTTGAGAAATGTCCCATAAAGATTATGTGACTTGATAAGCTTACGGCTGAGACTCCAGAAACGATGAGCTGTACAATGGCTGTTTGTATCGTTTGGTGGGAGGGGGGGGGGGGGGGGGGGGGGTAGAGAGGGAGAGAGAGAGAGCTCATCAAATCACTTTTATTGTCACGTCACATGTGCAGGTACACTGGTACAGTACATGCGAGTGAAATTCTTGTGTGCGAGTTTCACAGCAACAGTTGTGCAAAATACAATAACGTAAAAACAAGCAATTATAAAAATGGCTAATCTACCGTAAGTAATAATATGTATAGTATGTCAGGTATATACATTCCTAAATGTGTGTGCTAAGTATTTTATTTTTTATTTTTCTACATGTGTGCATGTGAGTGTGTGTATAATGCATAGATACATATTTAACAAATTAATAAAGTAAACAATAAAATAAGAGATATAAAATATACAGAGGTTGGTATGTGCAAAACAGTGGCATTAATGTACAGTATGGAGTGTGTAATGTTGGAGTTTCAGTAGTGAGGGTGAGGTGTCTGCGTTGTGCTCAGCAGTCTGATGGCCTGATGGAAATTCATTCATAACTTGTATTAGATTAAAATAGGTAACATTGAGGAAAAATGCTGTACTTAATAGAGAAGTTGTGCAGTAAAAAAAAACAAGCTAAACCATAACCTGTACACAATTTATAAATAATGCTGTTTTTTCACAATAGTTAAAAAAATATTAAAATGTTCTATTTTCATGCTAATGTGACCGGCCTGTCTTGACCTTCTGGTCTCACAAAGTAGATTTCTGCGTTGTGTTGTGCAAAGGAATGAGACAGCGACCACCCCTCTTCACCACTGGAGCAAGATTTATTCGATGTCAGCTGTGCAAAATAAAATAACATCAGTACAGCACCTGGACTGGTTATGACACACACCTCTCTCCTCAGGATGGTCTCCCGCCATCTGAGGAGAGTACCGAGAAAACCACAGGAAGTGGCTGCACTACCGGAAGTTGCCGAAATGAAGCGTTTTTCAAAATAAAATACAAAAACACATCAAATAAATATCGAGGCAGTTAAACAACTTGATAAAATGAACACAATGACTGAGGATGGACTTTTGGTGAATTATAAGTATCAACAGAACACCTCTGTTACACTAAAATACAGTTCAGTTATCTTGAACGGGGCTGTGTCATAAACATTTCTTTAAGAAAACTTAAATTTTCTGTTTAGACTTTTTGGAAGCACATTTTAGCTCCTGTATATGAACAACAGTAACAGCCATATCATTAACAACAGTACCATCAACAGTAACGACAAAAAAAAAAAAAAAAAAAAAATAAAATGTCTGAGTACATTTTTAAATTGCTGTAATTATGAAATATTTGTTTTCAAATTTTTTCTAAATTAAGAAAATAATCTTTATCAGACTTTTTTTCTATGGACACTAAAAGGTTAAATATTAACACACATATACTTGATTGTTTTAAGTGATTATTGGGGTTACATGTGTCCATGATAAACAGAGGAGCAGAAATACAAAGTTGTTTTACTCTATTACAAATATGATATTCTAGATCTATTTACCTTTATTCTGTCACCTCTTTCCATTTGTGCAGATGTGTGAATAATGCGATGCAGAATTAATGGATTGTTTGATAATAAATGCAGAAACCCTTAATAAAAATTAGTAAAAATCTATGATAATGAATGAAATGAACAATTGACTGATTATATGTTGGAACTGCTTATAACTTTAACATATTTTGAGCTGGTGACGTGTATGAATAATTAATTTTTCCTTAAAGAATTAGTTAAAAGTTGCTGTAAGAGTCATTACATTATGACTAGTGATGGCTACAGTGCTAATCTTTAGTCAAGCTAGATGAAAACACCGCAATAAACATTTAAATGATCCCAGATGTTTCATGAGGAAAGCTAAATCAGGTACACAGTTATATTTTTATGGTAGACAAGTGTGAATTTTGGGTGGTTATTTGTATATATTTACACAGAGAATGTCTGAAACCACAGTTTGGATAAAGAAATCCAACCTTGAGAATTGAAACGTTGCAGCTGTGCATGACTGTTGACGGTGCTTTGTGTTTCGACGCAGGATTTTCAAGCAAGGGCATGTTGTGATGTCTGTGGTGCTTTAGGGTTCAGCTATTTCATCCTAAACAAGAAGGGTGAAAACCAGTTAGATGATGAATCAGAGGCTTATAAAAAAGCACCCTTCAGAAGTTGAGTCACACATGTGACACAGTGTCAGAACAGGGGGCTGCAGTCAGTCCGTCAGAGAATTTGAGGTTTGCGGCATAAGCTGGCTGCTAGTGATGGGAATTCCGGCTCTGTTTAGAGAGCCGGTTCTTTTAGCTCAGCTCACCAAAAAGAGCCGGCTCTTTCAGCTCCCAAGTGGCTCCTCAGATTTTCTGTTGCGTAGAGTATATTTATAACCAAAATAATGCAAAACTATATGTAACATGATTTACTAATGTAAAAAATTGCAATATATCAACTATTTATCATTTGTATGGATTTAATAACTGAACACTTTAAGAAATCTCCACTTTCCGACTGCTGTTGCTCATTTTCTCACCGTCTTCGTCGCACTCTCCTCTCTCGCTCGCCTTTTCCCTCCTCCTCATTCCCTCTCGTCTCCCTCCACCCGCATGTGCTCTGCTGTGTGTCTGAGTCTGATCCTCCCTCTTCCCCGCCCCTACTGCTCTGTGTGTGGACAGTCTGGACACGCAGTTACACATGTTGACCAATCGCCTGTAGCGTTCACCAAAGCAAGAGGGGAGGGGTCGGCTCCCAATTCCGAGCCAGCTCCCGTCGTTCACTTCAAAGAGCCGGTTCGTTCGCGACCGACACATCACTACTGGCTGCAATTCTAGGAGCTCTCAGCTGTGAGGCTGAGTGCCGGAGTCAATTTCTAGATGGATTTGTAGATGTTAACTTCATTTGGGTGTCATTTGTATTTCCACATGAATTACATCTCAGACCTGCATGTGGCTCGGTACAGCTCAATGAAAAATACCATCAGTTTAGCTCCACTGGCAGAGGGGTGATTTGTGTCCCTGGAAGGCATTTAATTTAAGTAAACCACCACTTCTCTCCCTCTCTCAGCTGCCTTCATATCCTGGATAATGCTTGAGCACTCCACTCACTCTGTTCCTTTGGAGATTTGGCTTCATTCATGTAAATGGCATATCTTTGCCCTCCGTGTTCCCCTCGAGACGTCAGCCACTCCTCTTGCTCTTGTGGCTCTTTCCTTTTAGTTGTGTCATAGAGATGTGATGTTTGATGCTACGGTAATCTGGCTGCACTCAAGACTGACTGGGCACTTTGGTGCAGCAGATGCTTTAATCTCTTACTTGAAACAGTGTTTTTATCTCTCGGCAACATCTGAGCAAAAAGATAGAGAGGCTGTGTAAGAACAAAGAACTTTATGGTCTTGAAAATCAGTGTCAGGTTTCGATTTATTGTTTTAGCACTAATTCAATTCTTTTTTTTTTATCTTCTCCACCAGACTCTGCAGCTGTGTTGCTATGGCAGCGGTGGTCTCTCCCTGCTTCTTCCTGCTGTGTTGGGTCCTCCAAACAACCAGCCTGGCATTCCCAGAGGAAGCGGGGCCTCTCAACTTCATCCCCACCGAAGGTAATGACCTCCTGGCTTTTTCGCCCCATAGTTTCTCACTCCCTTGCTCTCTCACTAGCCGTAATGTGTGAAGTTCTGGGCTGCTGCCAAACACCACTGATGATGAATTGAGGGGTAAGGAGAAGGAGTAGGGTCGCGGTTTAGGCTGTGGAGGTCAAGCAGGCTCTCACACGAAGGGTGTTGACTGGTGCCCAGGTCAGGACGTCTGAGGCCACCTCCTGGATTGAGACCAGACTTGTAGAAAGGGGCTCTCAAATTCACGACTGCCTCCCTACGAACATGCTCAGACCCTCAGGAGACACAAATCCTCCAACACTCAGACTCTGCGTCTCCACGTCGGCTTGGCCGTCTCCAGCTCTGACCAGACTTTGATTGATTGCAGTTCGATAACAATGACTGATGGTTTTCCAACAAAGTCCAGACAAAGTAGACATTGTCAGACCACTGAGATCCATACTGGATCAGCTGCAAGAGGCTCTTGATGAACAGCACATATACATTTTAGCACAAGACTCACAGACCTACGGAAAGTTTTGCACAGAAAGAAGAGAAACCGTAGTTCTCAGATCAGAGAAAAGCATAAAGTTACCGACTAAAACGTCTGAAATTGGGAGAAAATTCTGCAGGCTGCAATGAATTTGATTCTGCACAAGCAGTGTCGACTCTAGTTCCCCCATGTAGTAATGGTCCTAGTAAAATCCACTGTGGCTAAAATTACACACATGTTTCATTAAACTAAGTGAAGTAGCACATTACATACCGCAACATGTTTGAAGTGTTCTTTGTTGTACATTAATCTTTGTAAATTAGCCACGTGCTGGTGCCTCTGGCTCGCAGGTTGACTAAGAGCTGCTGCAGCATTCGCTCACCACAAGAAACAGAAGCTTTTAGCTCTGTTGTGGAATATTTGAAGGAAATTGGCACTGGATGTCTTATTTCTGAGTCTTGTGTACAATTTGTTTACTGTATTTTCTGTATTTGATTCATTTCCCAAAACAAGCAGTTTTTCTCATCCATGTAACTTATTACATCTGTTTCGATTTTCTTCCAGGGAATCCTGGTAAAGATAAAGTGTAATAGTTTCAATACAAAGAGAGCAAACGTTACAGACAAGTTTGAATATTAATCCAAATAAAATTGGAGAATAGGTTAAAGAATGTGAAAAAAATACATACCAGTTATGTTTAACATGTACTATTACCAAGAAAGCTAATAAAAATGTTATAGTGCAGGTTTTAACAGCCAAATAAAAATAATAAAAGCATGTATATAGATAATGTTACCATTGGGCTGTACAGAGCGGACTAAACTTGGCACAGTGTCCTGTCTGGCAGCTGTAGGAAAGCATTGTTCCAAACAGAACAAGAAATCCAATTTAGGTCTAATCATTTTGAACAAAATGCCACCGAAACCATCCGAATCTTCTAATTAAGCTAAACTCTCTGTGTGTTTTGAGTGAGTTATATATATATATATATTCTAAATAACTTTTTAAATATGTTCTGTTCTTGTGAAGCACCTCATGATGTTTATTTTGAGAGGCGCTATAAAGATTGTTTTGTTAGTTTGCTTTGTAAGTTGAGAGTGATTAAAGGTCATGTGACATCATTCATCACAAGGGAATGCAATGGGAACCAGATTAGATCATTGAGGAACACCAATGATTGAAGCCGATGTACAGACGTGAACAAAATTGTTGGTACCCTTTGGTCAAAGAAAGAAAAAACCACAATGGTCACAGAAATAACTTGAATCTGACTTAAGTAATAATACATAAAAATTATATGAAATTTAACCAACGAAAGTCCGACATTGCTTTTCAACCATGCTTCAACAAAACTATTAAAAAAATAAACTCATGGAACAGGTTTGGACAAAAATTATACCCCTAACTTAACTAGGCAGTTTTGCTTACTTTTAGCCTCCCTAGTGTCTGTTTGTAAAACCTAAGCAAACCTTTCTCCTTGCTATGCGTTCATCTTTTTAACACCTTAATCTGACGACTGAAATGTCTCCACAGCCTTCTAAGTTTTTCTAAGTCCCAACAGAGCAGCCTGCCAGTATGAAGTTGCAAGTGGATTACCCTTTCTACAGGGGACGTTATGGGCTGGATGGCCTTTCATTAACCCTGTAAAGGGTCATTTTAGCACATACTGGCTCAAGAGAAGTATTTTAAAATATGATAAAGTTGAAAAGTATCCCTTTAATTTGTTGTTGAACAACCTTTAGAGGAAATCACTGCAACCAAACTATTCCTGTAACAATCAATGAGACTTCTGCACCTCCCCGCAAGTATTTTGGCCCACTCCTCATGAGCAAACATCTCCAGTTGTTGCAGATATTTCAGCTCCTTCCAAAGATGCTCAATAAAATTGAGGTCAAAGCTCATAGTCCAATGTTTTCCTCTGAGCAATTTTTGGGTGTTTTAGCTGTGTGTTTTGGGTCATTGACGTGCAGCAAGACCTCTGGCCGAGACCAAGCCTTCTGACACTGGCCAGCACATTTCTCTCTAGATTCCCTTGAGATTTCATCGTACCCTGCACAGATTCAAGACCCCCTGTGCCAGATGCAGCAAAGCAGCTCCAGAACGTAACAGAGCCTCCTCCATGTATCACAGTAGGGACAGTGTTCTTTTCTTGATGTGATTTATTTGTCCATCTATGAACATGGCTGGTGTGCCCTGGCAAAACGTTCCATTGCTGTCTCATCTGTTTTTGTCTCATCTGTTTTTGTCTCATCGGTCATTCTCCCAGAAGCTTTATGTCTTGTCTACATGTAGTTTGGCATATTTCAGTCTGGCTTTTTTATGACTTGCTTTCAATAATAGTGTCCTCCTTGGTTGTCTCCCATGAAGTCCACTTTGGCTTAAACAACTACGGATGATGCAATCTGACACTGATGTTCTTTGATCTTGAAGTTCACCTCGGATCTCTGTAGAAGTTTTTCTGGGCTCTTTTGTTACCACTCAAATGATCCGTCTCTTAAATTTGTCATCAATTTTCCTCCTGTGGCCACGTCCAGGGAGGTTGGCTACAGTCTTGTGGATCTTAAATTTCAGAAAAATGTGTGCAACTGTAGTCACAGGAACATCTAGCTGCTTGGACATGGTCTCAGAGCCTTTACCTTTCAAATCAAATCAAATCAAATCAACTTTATTTATAGAGCGCTTTCACATGGCCAGAATGGACAAACAAAGCGCTGTACATCAATAAAATGCAACACAATAGGACAGAGATATGACCATTAAAATACATTAATAAATCCATTAAAATACACTAAGAAATCCCTGTAAAATACCGTAATAAATCCTATAAAAATACAATAAGAAATCCATTTTAAAATACAGTACAAAAACCTGAGTGCCAGTTCACAGTCCATATCCGGCCTACTTCCCCCAACTTCAACGTCCAAAAGCCAGCGAGACCTTTAACATGCTTGTCTAGAATTTTCTTTCTAACCTCATGAGAAAACTCTTTCCTTCCCTTCCTCTGATCCATATTGAGTGTGGTACACTCCATGTCACCAAACAACACAATGACTACCTGGAGCCCTACATATAGAATGATTGTAGACACCTGTGATGCTAATATGTCCCTTTGGTCACATTATTTTCTGTCTTTTCTAGGGGTGCCATCATTTTTGTCCAAGCCTGTTCCAGATCAAAACCTTATTAGGGTTTGTTTACAGTTGTAATTGTAGCGTAAGCTTTTTGGAGTCATTTTTTATACTTTATATTACATTTAGTGGTGAGAAGTCCTTATTTATATCAGATTGAATGGTCTGAACCCACCGCCCCCCTGGTGACTGTCTCCTCTGTGAAGAGTAAGGCATTAAAGAGCCAGAAAATGGAGGAGAAGAAAAAAACATAAAGAGATGACTAAAAGATGAAAAAAGATAAAGCTGTGATATAAAATAATGATTGCTGAGAAGAGAGTTGATGAAAGGATATGAGATGAAAAAAGTCTCTCCAACCATCAAGTGAAGGTCAAAAACAGATAAACACACTGGTCTTCCTCTGTAATCCCTCCTATTTATATGTAGCTCTTATTTCTGCTCAGTTTTTTCTTTGCATTTTGGCACAACATGACGGATGAAAATGTTTTGCTACTTTTATCTTAGATGTCTCTCCCTCAGGATTTTTTTCACCACAGTAGAAGACCGCGTCCTCTGAAACACAGCATTTAGTCTTACCTTTTGATGTTTGGTTCTCTGTTTTTGAATCCTCTAAATCAGCTGTGCATGAATAATCCAACAAATCAACCAAAAGCTGGGTGTGAGAAAATCTCAATCAGTCAAGAAGCAAAAAACCTGCAAATGTAAAAGTTTGAAGTGTAGTTTAAACGTTTTTCTTATTTGTAGGTTTTGTGCTCCTTTTCATGTCTGAGTTTGCTTAATGCAGTTGTCTTCTCTTAACCTTGAACACCTGTTGCAGCTATTTAACTGTCAAAAATAACACAAAATCCTCACGCTGCTCTTACGCTTTGGTGAAGGTGAATGTTTGAGATCTGTGCATTTGTGTCTCTTGTTCACTGGCAGTGGCGAGACGATACCCCGTGTTTCTGGGCCGACCGCACAGAACGTGGCTCAGACATGAGCCTCTACACATCCAGAGGATCCTCCAGGTCAACCGGACTCTCTACATTGGTGCCAGGTACAACACACACACACACACACACACACACACACACACACACACACACACACACACACACACACACACACACACACACACACACACACACACACACACACACACACACACACACACACACACACACACACACACACACACACACACACAATACTAATCCGCAATCGGAGTGTGGTTAAAACATTTGATAGGTCATTATTTAAAAGTTAGTGTTAAGTGATCTTAATCAAATTCTTAGCAAATGATTGCTTGATATGAAAGGTCAGAACCAAATGGAACATCAACCTTGCTCTCCACGCTACAATCACCAGTCAAATATTTGTCATCAGAGGTTCTGGTCCATATTGACATGATAGCGTCACACAGTTTGAGATTTTACAACTGCTAATCTTCTTTTCCACCACTTCCCAAATGTTCTGGACCTGGTTTGAGATCTGGGGACTGTGGAGGTGGTTGAAGTCCACTGAACTCATCAGCAAGTCACAGTGGCCCTGAAGGGATGGACATGGTCAGCAACAAGACAACAAGACTCGGGTTTACTGTGGTATTTGAGCAATACTCTGTTTTAGAGTGGTTTGGTCCAATCAGGGGATATGGAGAGCAGTTGTGTGACGTAAAGTGGTGTTCAATGAAAGGGCACAGATAGGATTTTCAAACTGGGGGGGGGGGGGGGGGGGCAAAGTTCCAATGTACCCTCCCCCAAACACACACACACACACACACACACACACACACACACACACAAACACACACACAAACACACACACACACACACACACACACACACACACACACACACACACACAAACACACACACACACAAACACACACACAAACACACACACACACACACACACACACACACACACACACACACACACACACAGAGCTGGTATGGGCTCAGTTTTTTTTTGTAAGGATTTACATTTGCTCCTATTTCATTATTAAATCCGGCACCACGGTCGGATCAGGGGGCAGAAATCTGGTTAAGGTCAAGCATATCTTAGTTTGTCTTTGTGTTATGATTCGTTCCATATGTGTGTCAGTCTGGCAAAAGTGCTCATCCACAACAGAGCACATCTGTGCCGGTCTAAAAGGCAAGGCACTCATCCGCACATCCACTGTTCACAAACCAACCCAGAACACATCAAGGGAATCTATGGACACCATAGATAAATGGACACAATTTGATTTATTGATCAGGTTGTTTGAAAGTTCATTTACTTTGAATCATGCTAGAAAAGACAGAACAATAACTTTCCAAACTTTCCTTTTTTATCTTCAGATTCAGTAATATACACAATGTCCAGGAAATGACCCAATCCTTGGCCTCCAGCTGGTCCAACCCCTGTTCTAAGATTTAGTAGTGACTTTATCACAGTATGTAACATGGTTCCAGCCTTTCTGTCTGCACTCAGATGCTCGATAAGCACACGCAGGCTAGCTGATAATAAAAATGCCCCCGACAGCTAAAGCTACTGCAGCCTACTTAGAAATATAACCAGAGCCATGAAACATGTTGGGAAACCTTTATTAGGATTTACAGTTGCAGACATTTTTGCTAAGTAGGAGAGGTAATCCGATATGAATGTCTCAGCCTACCAGGTGAAAGTGAATTACCTGACACAGCACCAACAAAGTCAAAGCAGCGAGGGAGCAAATGCAAGAGGGATACAGAGAAAAACATCTCGCAAGTTTGTTTTGACTGTTCTTCTGGAGTTTGTGATCAACTACAGAGATAAGATTGATGCAAATGTGTGTTTGAGCTACAGAGACCTCAGCTGGGCAGCACAGTGTTAAAATGTACAACGAATAAACAAGGATGTACTGGCAGGTATAGCTGCCAAAAGCTCCAGCAGAGTGCATGTCCTGATAAAACACGTTGCTCATCTCCAAACCCTGTCACCATTAGCATTGCTGCTCCTCACACTGCAAGCAGCACTAAATCCCCGTTCCAAGCTCCCGCTGGGAGCAGATACCCCCTCCCCGACCTCTTCCCATCCTTGCTAAATGAAATTAAACCAGGTATTTGGCTGCTGCCAGGTGGAGTAAGCACCTTGCTGTGTTAAGCCCAGATTCATTGCTGGGATGGAGCAGCTGTGGATGTGGACTTCGGCTAATCCATGCAAATATAAAACAAAGAAGGGACTATTTGATCGTCGGTAATCTTTTCTGTGTACATCTTATGTGTAAGTACAGTCTTACCTGTTGTACATTAATTCCTGATTAACCTCAGTTTGGAGAGATGGTTTACATCCTGCAGGACTGATGAGCTATTGGCTAATCTGTGCTCAGTCCAGTCATTTTAAAACAGCTTTAATCTCATAAATGTTACCCCGGCTTTCCACGGGAGCCGTCAGCAGCACGTTACTGCAGCAGCACATCATAGCTGCTGATAGGAACCGCTGTGGTCAACAGAACCTTTTCCACTAGAGCCGTCAGCAGCCGTCAGCAGCGCGAGTCGGCCACGTCTCAGGAGCAGCATGTCAAGGCCTTTACGCGCCGGTTCTATTTTCTACGCGCGACGCCTCTGAAACGTGTCAAGTTCGACATTTTTGGGGAAGGAAAGACAGGAAATCGGACGCCGAAATGGAGAGAAGCTCCCAAGATTTTCAGAATAAAGAAACGTACTGCCTTCCGGTTGCTTTACTTTTAAAAAACGTTACTAAATGTGCGGCCCCGTGAGAAGTTATCACCTAGCTAGCGGTCTCCTTTGTTTTTCAGGTCCGTGTTGGTGATTATAAAACAGACAGAACATAAAACACAAACCTTTTGGAGCCATGTTGTAGTTTTCTCCTGCTTGTTGTTGTGTTTACTGACGAAGTCACTCGTGTGACTTCGTGCTCGGTCGGTGACAGCTGCTCCCCTGCTGCTTCGCGTCTCGTGGGAAGGGCCAAGCAGCAGTTTACGCGAGCAAGACGTGCAGCTGCAGTAACGTGCTGCTGACGGCTCCTGTGGAAACCTGGGGTTAGACTGGGCCATGTGCTGTCATTTAAATCACTTCTGATTTATCTTCATACAGTTATTGATCTAGTTTTATCTACAAGTGTAAATACCACCACCACCAGCAAAATGCAGGGGTCAATTGTAGCAGGACTTTAATATTTCTGCTGAATTACCTGAAATGCATGAAGGTATGAGCAAGGTTTGCATGCACACTTGTGAAATTTAGGAAATCAAAACTTGGTGGCATCAGTGCTTTTTTTATCGGGGTTAATTTAGACAAGCAGTTTTTTAGGTTGTTATTATTGTCCAAACGGCCCAGGTGTGCTCAGACTTACCACTAGCTCATGTTTGAGGTATATTTGACTGAACAGAAGTTGTTTAGAAAGCTATCTATCATGGGTAAGATAGTAAATATTTATAACTTTTACACAAAAACTATTTTGAAAATGGCCCAAAAGTCCCCTGACTGTTGTCAGTGGATAATATGAATTAAAGGGCCAACGTGGCCTAATTTCTGATTCTGTGATGTATTTAGTGTTCAAAAGGCTGACTGTGTGTTTTGCATTTAGCATTATCTGAAAGGAGAGGGTGAGATGAAATAACTTATTGCCTTTTTGGTGTTTGGTTATTAGCCCAGAGACATTGACCTCCGAGGTCAGCTGGGGTCCCGCTCTGGTCAAATGTCTGATGGCCGACGGTGGAGAAGACACTTCCCTGTTACAGAGGCCTTGGGGCGGTCAGGGGGTCACAGCTGCCAGTCTGTGGGTAATGCAGATGATAGGGTGTGTTTGAGGAAAGACGAGGTCACACAAGTGAGAACACCCACATACGCTGATGTTAGGTGTTCCTGAACTAGATTTATGGCTTAAAAGTGCCCGTTCTTTTGGTTGGGGGTGTCCAAACAAGATTATCATGTGAAAGAAAAAGTTTATTCTAACAAAGTTCAAGTAAAAAATATGAAAGAGTAGCAGCTGCACCTGTAGCCATGGTTTCATTTTCAGCAACTATTATAATAGTGATTGTTTCAGCATTTGTTGCAGTGGAGTCTTATAGAAAAAAGTAGTTTTAGACGTTCTTTGTTGTTTATGTACTTAATTAATTTGTCAAGATCATTTATTTTCATGCACAAGGTTTGTGTAGAAGCTGGAGTCCATTCCAGCTGCACAAGAACCTCAAGGATTTGCTTAAAGGCGGTCTTTTCTTTGCTGGTTTTTAACCCCTCAACTCTCTCTGCATTTAGTTTGTATAGTTCTTGTTATTTATTCTTCATCAGAGTCAGAGGCTTATTGTGGTTGCACTGGTTTGTATTATTGAAGGGTCTCTGAAGAGCTTGGCATTAAAACGATTTTTCATTCTTAAAAAAACTCACTTTTTTACTGTAATATTTTTTCTAATTATAGACACCTTGAATTATGCAAAGTCACTCCTCCTCTTCCTCAGTCAGCAGCAGAGCGGCCAGTGTGAATCATCTGTTCCAGGCTCATTCATTAGTCCGACTTCTCCCCCTCTGATTTTGCCAGAAACACTTTGAGCTCCTCATGCTGAACCACGGAGCTGCAGGAAGGATAGAAAAGGAGAACTCAAAAGAAATATGGGGAAGCTTAAAAGGTCTCGACCTCAAGAGCTCTGCTGTCTGTCGAACCAAAGGAGAAGGTTCACGAGCTGGTCAAAGTAGAATTTAAGGAAATGCTGCCAGTTTATGTTGACTCCGTCATACCTGGGTCTAAAGGGCACGGGGCCTATGTAAAGTTTGAGCACATGCGTACACCATAACACATTTAAACATTTGTAAAACAAACTTTGGAACAAACTTTGATGATAGTTTAAAATAGTCTGAAAAAAGGCCAAAAAAGTTTCCAATTGGATTCATTGAAGAAAGGAATTCGACTCCACCGCCGTCAGCTACATGTGGTCTTTGCAAAAAAGTTACTCAAGACTGAAACATCAGTCAAAACTCAATGAAACACCACAGTGAGTTCATGTGTTGCCACGCTGTAGGGGGGTGGAGAGAGATGCAGAATATAAAGCACCAGAGGAGCTCTTTGAGGGAACAGCTACCAGAATGTATCATCTTTTTACCATGTTGCAACCAGGCTTCATAAGATTCAGCTCTGACAGTGATCACATGTCCCTGGCTTGACTTGCACCTTACGGATTGAATAATGGGATCTTTTCATCATGCATGTTTTTGATTTTCGGTTTTCCGCTACTACATGCACTTTTCATGAAACTTACAAGTAACAACAAACATCAGACACCACAAGTTTTGCATCCTCCAAACTACCAGGATGGTAAGAAAGGGATTTAGCAGCATAAATAATTCCCACTTCTCTTCATTATCAGAATGAACAGAGGTTGTAGCCACCCTGAGAAGATACCCTGTTGCTATATTCATAGTGTTGATGCTGAGACGGTGCTGAGACTGCTTCAGTGAGATTAGCCCTTACTCACTGCTCCACTCCACAGTTCTGAAAATCTTCATAATTTGACCTATTAATCAGCCGTGTGCCAAGCCAGCATTCCGTGGTCTCTCTCTTCTCTGCTGCACCCTTCTCTGCAGGGCTGACAAAGGGTGATAATCCTTTAACACAACAACAGGAAGTGAAGATAAATTATTCAGGAGAGGGGTAATAAGATGGCACCTGCAGCCTCGTTAAGCACGCACACCCTCAGAGCTCGCCGTTTTCTATAAAATCACATGCAAACGCACACGTTTTCCAGGTAAACACAATCAAGTCTGCAAGTAGGCCCGCACGTGCTTGTAGATGGGTGCACACAGGATAACCTCTCCATCTGTCGAAGAAAAGGTGAAACCAAGAGCAAACATGCAGCACAGATGGGAGACAGAGCTGGAGGAGAGATGGGATCGATACCGCAGCACTAACATGACCATTGGAGATTTACAGATAAGCTCGTTCAGAGCACGGCCCCGTGCTCGCATGAAGCCCACACTTTAGATCCATCCCAGCAGATAGGAAAGCCTCGATCAATATGCAAACGACAGCTGTTATGTGCCCAGAGCAGCTCTCATTTTGTAGGCAGTTTTAACAGGAATGTCAAAGGTTACCACAGAATTATCAGCCCATTCAGAGTGTAGCAATGTTTGGAATATTCGGAATTTATGCATGGTGCTTGGTTTTGGACAATCTGTGGGCAGCATGCGAGGGCACAAAAAGCTTCAATGGAACCGCTTGATTAAGTCATTCATTAATTCAATTATAGGCTTTTGAATATGACTGATAAGCTGATTTGGGGACTGGGCAGAATACTCGACACAACGTGTCAAAATGATGGGAGGCAAAAGGTGAGCGGCAAATTCAGGACTTCATTATTGACTCGGGTATAATTTCTCAAATCTGTTAGGAGAGATGGAATGCCTTGAAAGGCCAGTTTCTTACTTATTTGGTTGTCTGATCAATTGAATGAATGTATCGTATTTGCAGACGTGCATAGATGCAAGGCCATGGCTGTAGCTATCACCGGAAGAACAGTAGTTGTAAGAAATGAAAAATTTTAACCCTCTGGAGGCAGGCATTGCAGTTTAAACCTACCTACCTGGTTACTCCACATACGTATTTCATGAGCATTTTTTTAGCTCAAAAGTACCCCTGAAGGACTTAGTTGTTCGTCCTTTTATCGAAACTTATTTTGAGCCTGAGAGGGTTAAACCCTGTCTTGTCAAGAATTCATGGACACGAATGTGCTAAAATTAGATTTTAATCAGGAAAACAATGATCATAGGTTTGTGAAATGTCATCTAAACTCTTTTATTTGGATAGATGAAACCAAGCCACAGATGTTTGCCAGTAATGCTCGGTGATGTGTTAAACTAGAGAATTTCAGCACAAACACTAAAACACGATGGTGAAGAGATTATGATTTGGGTTCATTTTGCAGACGCAGGACCCAGACACTTTACAGTCACTGAACAAACCATAAACCCCTTCCTGGAGATGAATGTGACACCATCTGTCCAGTGGAAATGGAGTCATGCAACAGGACAGTGATTCCAAACTCATCAAATCCACAAAAAATGGCTGAACATGAAAATAACGAGAGATTCTATGGTTTTATTGCACCTTGATAGAGCCATGCATAAATGAAAATATTTCACACACTGATGTTGCATTGTATTTCAGTTTCAACACCTTATGTAAGCTAAATATTTTTTTTCATCCATCCATCCATTTTCCTTCACTTATCCTGGGTCGGGTTGCAGAGGCAGCAGCCTAAGCAGTGAGGCCCTGACTTCCCTCTTGAGCCAGCTACTCCAGAAGAATCCCAAAGTGTTCCTTGGCCAGCCGAGAGACATAGTCCCCCCCACTGTGTCTTGGATCCTCCTTTTTGTCTCCTCCCTGCTGGACGTGGCTGAGAAACCTCACCAGACAGGCATCCAGGAAGCTTCCTAACCAGATGCCCAAGTCACCTCGACTGGCTCCTCTCAATGTGGAGAAGCTGCGGATCTACTCCGAGCCCCTCCTGGATGACTGAGATTCTCACCCTATCTCTAAGGGAGAGCCCAGCCACCCTGTAGAGAAAACTCATTTTGGCCGCTTGTGGACCATAATTTCTCAACAATTAAAAACACATTGTTTTGTATTTGCAGACTAACTTTTACGTTGTGGGTTTAGAAGACAATACAGGTTTACTGATAGCATTTATGTGTTTACAATAACTTTTGTGGGGGGGACAACTTTGTGTGAGGGGGTGCCCCCCCCCCCCCCCCCCCCCCCCCCCCGTCCCCCCTGGGATCTCCGCCTATGCTCGTGACCATAGGTGAGGGTAGGAACGTAGATCGACCAGTAAATTGAGAGTTTTGCTTGTGGCTCAGCTCTCTCTTCCCCACAACAGACCAGTACAATGCTGTATCACTGCAGATGCAGCACCATCATTCCCTCACTTGTATACAAGACCTCAAGTTACTCACGCTCCTCCACTTGGAGCAAGACCTCATCCCTGACATGCAGCAGGCATTCTACTCTTTTCCGACTTTTTTTGTTTCTCATCATCTAAAATGTTATCTTTTGCACTGAAGATGTTTAAGATGCATTGTCTAGAGTGACTGTATTTAGCACTAAAGCTACACAGAATAATACAAAAGGATGGTTTATTCCCAGAGTGGGTATTTAATGTATGCTCTGGATTTCATCCAAATGCATTAATGCTGCCTTGAGCTAGCAATAATATCTCATTTTTACTCCCAGATAGAGAATGATATTCCTAGTTTGCTTAATGCAGGATCTTGCCTTACTTTGGGCTTCATATAATGCTGCATTGGTGAACCACTGCTTAGACACTTTCTCTTTCCATCCGTCTCCAGGGATGATCTGTTCCGGGTGGAGTTGGACAATGTTTCAGGGGATGAAATGTTTTACAGCAAAGTGAGTTTTTAAACACACATATTTCAGACTTTTTATAGGTAGCATCATGGAGAATATTTGTTTTTGTGAAAATGAATTTGCTCAGCAGAATTAATCTGTGTGTTGCTTAGAAAAGAACATGGGAGTCAAACAAGAATGACATCAGGATCTGCAGGATGAAGGGCAAACATGAGGTAAGAGTCTTTTTCTTCAAACTCTCCTCCTAAATGTATGGTTTCTGTGACCAGACACAGACACTAAAGCTACTTATTAACAAATGTAACACTATTGTTCAGTTAAAGTTGGGTTTACATAATTAACTCATTCACTGCCAGCCGTGTCCTGATCACTAACGGCCTTCGCTGCCAGCGTTTCTCACCGTTTTTACTGTTTTTTTAAGAGTCACAGAACGTTTCGCGCTAGCATGATGTCAATGCCAAAACAACCAAAACAAAGAGGAGACTCACCTCTTACATCAGGAAGAAGCCGCGTATTTCGAGCGTTATCCGTTCTTTCATAATCCGTTGTCGAATTGTGATCGGCAGACGCTTTTCCGGTTCGCGCCTCACTTTTTTTTACAGGAATGGCCCAAAATGATCTCCAAACACATGGATGTGTTGCTTCCTGATCATGTGATCTGTGACGTATGCGGATGAAGATCGGCCTCAGGACTGAGATGTTTGTTCTCTCAGCGCGGGGGCCCGTTCCGATACTCAAAATAGTAAAAAAATGCAAATGACGACTTTAGTCGTCATTGGCAGTGAACGGTTGGATCTAAAATGACGACTTTAGTCATCAATGGCAGTGAATGAGTTAATCTAGAGGTTATTATTCTGCTGCTCAAATGTGGAGTTCCTCAAGACTCTGATTTCAGTCCAGTCCTGTTTCCATTATAAGTGTTCTTTTCGGAGTCCATTAATAGAAGCTTAATTTAGATCAGTTTATGCTTTGTGATAATCTATTATTACAGTAGAAAAAACAGTAATTTTTTAGGCTTTCGAGCTGTATATAACATCAATTTCTTTACACTCAAAAAATGATTCAATTCAAAGCTCAAACAAAACTTTGTTTGCATCAATCTATAAACCCAGGTAAAATCAATATTTATTCTTTTAATATTCAGAACAAATAAATATAGGTCAAACTTAAAAAAATATCCTAAATATATTGAAAGTATAGGGTTTAAAAGTCCATTTGTTTCAGTAATTTAACTTAAAATGAGAGACCTTTTAAAGGGGCCAGCCAGGGAAAATATACTTTTTGGGGCTTTTTACCGTGTGATGTTGTTATTTCCACATGGGAGAAAAAAAAAACAGTTTTTGGTTGCGTTATTGCATTTTCCTAGCCTGGCAAGCCATCTTAAATACGTGAATATTTACTATATATATATATATATATATATATATATATATATATATATATATATATATATATATACAAGCTTTGCAAGGCAAGAATTTGGTCTAGTTCACTAGGCTAGCATTTTCCTGCATCAGAAGTAAATTTAGAGTTTTACTTTGAAAATCTTGTAGTCCAGTGGTTAGAACTCTCAGGCACATGCCTTAACTCATTCACTGCCAGCCGTTTCCTGATCAGTAAAGCCCTTCTCTGCCTGCGTTTTTCAGCATTTTTACTGTTTTTTAAGAGTCACAGAATGTTGCATGGTAGGATGACGTCAACGACAAAACTACCAAAACAAGGAGGAGACTCACTTCTTACATCAGGAAGAGTCAGTGTGTTTTGAGTGTTAGCCGTTCTTTCATAATCTGTTGTCGAATTGTGATAGACAGAAGCTTCTCCGGTTCGTGCCTCACTTTTTTCTACAGCAGTGGCCCAAAACGATCTCCTAACACATGGATTTTCTGCTTCCTGATCATGTGACGTACGCGGATGAAGATCGGCTTTAGAGCTGGGGTGTTTGTTCTCACGGTGCGGGGGCTCGTTCCGACGCCCACACAGTAAAAAAATGCAAATGAGGACTTTAGTCGTCATTGGCAGTTAATGGGTTAACCATTGGACATCAATAGCCACTGCAACCACTGACTTGCCTAAGATGTAGTTGTACGCATTTTGTCGGAGCGGGCATGGGTGGAGTTTCACTGAAATCTAGCATTTTATTTCCGTGCATAAATTTAGGCTGACAAAAATAACTTGCATTTAAGATTGACATCTTGGTGCCAATGGTAAAATTTGATCATAGACTGCGCCTACCTTTGTTCACAAAGGGTTTAAAATAGCATTATATGGAAAGGCTCAGGAACCCTTTGCAGGTGTTTTGGATCAATTAGCTGATTAAAATGTGACACTGTCAGCCTAGAAAATTGAAACTTTTCACAATACTCTAATTGTCTGCAATTTTGAAATTGGGGTTTTCATAAGTTGTAAGCCATAATCGTCACTATTATAACAGAAAACAAGGCTTGAAATATCTGGCTTTGCATGTAATCAGTTTATTAGTTTCATCTTTTAAGTTGACTTACTGACCAAATAAAAATGGTTTGAATTTCACCTATACCTGTATGTGGAGCAGTCATCATATTGTGATTTTGACCCTCTGGAGGCAGGCGTTGCAGATTTGCAGCGTTAAAACCTACCTACCTGGTTTCTCCACATACGTATTTTATGAGTATTTTTTAACTCAGAAGTACCTCTGAAGGACTTCGTTGTTCGTCCTTTTATCAAAACTTATTTTGAGCCTGAGAGGGTTAAGGTGGTACAAAATGCTGTTTGTCTCTGAACAGAAATGTTAACAAACTCCTGTTTTTATTATTTGATTACTTAGGGTTTTATTTGTAACTTTTTTCTCACAAAACTTAGCTGCAAATTCTCGTGTTTTTATTTATTTTTTGAAAAATGAAAAGCTTTTCTTGATAACTGAATTGTCTTTCATTTATATATTTCATATTCCCACAGTTTTTCATTCATCAAGATAATATATGTTTTAATTTAATCTTTTTTTAAGCATGTAAACAAAACACCAGCAATTCTGCTGCAATGCTCCTGATTCTAAGTGTCAAATTAGTTTTTAATCAGTTTAGCTTTGCTGGAAACTCTTATTAAAACCCCCCACAAAATCAATTACAATGGAATTAAAGTGTCAGTAAAATATGTTTACATGCTGTTTCACGCCATCTTTCTGTAAAACTTACCTTGTCGCTTATAAAATATGGAACGTTTACTTTTTTGTGTGTTGTCTTTTTGTCATTTCACAAGTAATCTGTGCATGTTAGTCCTGCTGAAAGTGTTCGTGAGGACTGTTTAAAAGTCCAGCTTCTTGAGCAACACCCATGAAAATGAGGAACAGTCTCGTGTCTACCAGTTCAAACCTTGTTCAGCCAGTTCGGACTGTGGTCTGTGCCCTCACATAATGTATGTGGGCGTCATGATACTAGTGTTGTAAGAAGGAGCCAGGGTGATATGTCCTAACAGCCACCAGCAGCCCACGCCTGAGAACCTCTGATATTTCCAGCTCACAGATTCCTAGCCGCCGTTGGCCTCACATAAACAGCACATATTAGGTTTTTGTGTGGTAGCTGGTTTATACAGCAGTGATGGATGTGGTTGACGGGGGAAACATGGGCTCTGTCCCCTCCAGGCACAGAAAAAAATGTCTTATTTAACACAGTGAGAGAACACCTGACATTAAATCTGAGTGAGACGGTGACAGACAGAAGCACAATGGAGAATAGAGTGGCCGGGACATAAAGCTAAGGCTCAGAGAAGAGAGGAGGTGTGTGTGTGTGTGTGTGTGTGTGTGTGTGTGTGTGTGTGTGTCCCTGCTGGCCGACCCTGAGGAGAGCTGGGGGGCTGACTGAGATATGAAAGGTCTTCTAGCCTCTAATGACTGCGCTGCCTGCTAATGCTGTGAGTCACACAGCAATGTGAGGCAGATAGGAATGCTGCCAGGCCCTTCCACTCTGCTCTCTAGGCTCTTTTCAGTGCTTGTTCATAAGTGTGCATACTTACTATTAAAATATTCTTTTCTGCTATAAGCTAAGAAGCTCTGATGTCTGTGAATAGCTTGGAGTAGAGCAGCTGCTCCTCCAGCTACAGCTCACTCTTACATGCAAGAGGTAGAAAAACTGTAATTTGTTAATATGTAAATTGTGACATCACAAACAGGAACTTTTAAAAATGGCTTGTTTTAGGCATATAATTCCTAAAACCAGAAGACGAAAGAATCAGAAAACGGTGGCCGTTTTATTTTTTGTTTGTTTGTTTTACGTTTGGAATGTTTAGAGGCAACAGAGACCCACATGGCAGCGCAAAATGGTGCAAAAGGTGAGTTTAGCATAATACGTCCTGTTTAAAGATAAACTGCCAAATGCTTTTGTTTTTTGAATAACTAGAAATATTTAACATTTGGCATATTACATGTATGCTTTATACATACAGAACAGAAAATAATAGATACATTTTTTTTTGTCACTGTACACTTTGACATGTTCGGTAAGTTAAGTATTTTACACATTAGGGATAATTTGTAGTTGATGTTTCCTGTTTAAAAATACTATTTAAACTATAAAACACAATTTGATATCAAAATATTTATATCAACAATTATCTTGCTCAATGTGGCTTATCAATGAAAAATAAGTAATCCCTTATTGTTTTTATTGTATCTACAAACAAGACAATAGCTAAAACTACCAGCTAGCATTTACCTTGAACGTAGTCCTTCAACACATACTACACCTTTAAATATCGTCCTGATGACATTTTAGGTTAAAATTTACCTGCATCGTTATTTAAAATAAATGATAGTGGTCTTCATGAGCATGACCAGTGATCAAGTGATAAATGTTTATAAATTAACTTAATTCAGTTCCTACTTCTTCTTGTCCACTCTAAACCATCAAAAACACAATTTCCTTAAAAGTCCCACTAGACCCAGGCTGTCGCTAGCTGTAAACTACTTCCCCATCATCTCCTCATCTCCACCACTTGAGGCCCTTAAAGCCTCTCATTCTGCTCTGAGGGTGGTTGTGTTAGATGTGATGCATTTGCCACTTCAGAATTACTTTTGCAATTAGATGTTTCTGCTTGGTTGATCAGGGAGGATGTCAGATTCTCCATTAATTAATTCAATCAGCTCGTTCCTCTGCCATTTTTTCTCCTCATGTGTTGACCAACAGGGCTGCAGTTATAACTGGCCTCTCATGTTTTGTCGGATAATTCATTTGCTTGATGTTTT